AACCAAAAATGTTGACTGTGAGAGTAACTCAAAACAATTTGTGATTATGTGCCAGGATTAAACATTGCTTCCATAGTTCTCCAAAAATGTGACAGAAACGAAAACAGAAAATTTATTTCCTCTCAGTATTTGCCTTCTCAGAAACTAATTAACCTTATTTTAGCCACTTCTCTCCAATAGATATTTTGTGAGAATCCAATGAAAGAATGTTGCGAAAGAATGTCAGTTCTATTGCAGATCTAAATAGTTTGAAAGATCCATATTCAAACTCTCTGAGAGCAGGAGTTTATTATTATGTATCTCTGACACATGGGATGATTGAGATGCTTCCTATAGTAAGGAGCCTATACTATAGAGGCCTATACTATAGCCTATAGAGTTTATAAAATTTCTTACCTCCCCCTCTCCCTGCCCAACTGGGATTGTCAAGTAAAATTATAATGGCTATATGCATGATACGTACCCTAGACAAGTCACTTAACTTCTCAGTGCCTCAATTTCTTCATTGTGATATTCTTTCACAGTATCTTTATATGAAAAATGTAATGAAGGTGATAATGTATGTGAAATGATCTTCTAAACACTGGGTAAATACACTTATTCTACTTAAAATCATCATTAACAATAATTCATATTAATAGTTAACACTGAGTTCTACCCAAAGACAAAGGAATGGGCTATGTTATCTTTTTAGGTCTTTTTGATCCACAGGGATTAGTCACACACACACATATATACTTTTCTAGTAGAATTTTTGTTACACTGAATTATAGTTTATGGCTCAGAAAAGCTAAACTTTTTGCTGTCAACCTGTAAAGCTATGTAAGTGCTTTTGTGACATGACAATTACTATTGTATGACTGCCCCCACCAAGGCTCGTGTTGACATTCAGCTGACAAGAAGTGGAAACTTTGAGAGGTAATTAAGTCACATCATCTGCTATGATTATGGGAGCAGGTTAATCACTGCAGATGTGAGCTGTCGATAATGGAAAGATGAATTTGATACAGTTTCTGCTCTGTCTTGAGTACTCATTTCTGCCTCCCACCCTTTTGCCCTTATGCTGTGGGAGGACTGTGGTCAGATGTCAACTTCATTCTTTTGAACTTCCCAACCTCCAGAACCAGAAGTCAAACTTCTGTTCTTTATAAATTGTGCAGTCTGTGCTATTCTGTTATAGCAACAGAAAATGAGCTAACACAGAAAATTCATACAGAGAAGTTGAACTGTTGCTATAAAAAAATTACCTGAAAATGTGGCAGTAGCTTTAGAACTGAATAATGGGTTGAGCCTGGAAGAATTTGGAAAAGCAGTCCAGAAAATATCTATTTTTCCATAAATGGAGCATTAAGGGTTTTATTGGTTAGGGCTCAGAAGAACAAAATAGATCTAGGAAAAGTCTGCATGTTCTTAGAGATTACAAAAATGGTCATGACAAGAGTGTTGGTGGAAATATAGATAACAAAGGCCATTATGATGGGATCTCAGACAGAAATGAACAAAATATTGGAAAGTGGAGTAAAGTTCTCCTTATTATAAAGTAGCAAAAACTTTGGCTGAATTGTGTCCATAGACACATAATGTCCTTGGACATTATGGTATGTAGAGTTAAGAGCAAAGGACTATAGTATCCAGTGGAAAAAAATATCTAGGTAGTGAACATTGAGGCTGCCACATAACTATTTTTAAGTGCATACAATGAGATGAGGGAAGAGATGAATGACTTAAAGGTCTAATTTATAATTAAAAGGGAAACAGAGCAGAAAGATTTGAAAAATTCACAGCCTGGCTATATAAAGAGTGGCAAAGCATGTTCAGAGGAGAATACTAAAAATGAGGCCATGCAACAATTTGTTAAGGAGATTAATATGGATATAGAGAATCCAGGTACCATTCATTGATACAATGGGAGAAAGACCCCTCAGGTATTTGAAATATGCTTATGGCTGCCCCTTCCATCACAGGCCTAAAGCTCTAGGAGGGCAGATGGTTTTGCGAGACAGGCCCAGACAGGCCACCCTCCAGGGGACTCACCACCTGGAAGTGTCCTGACACTCTGCTCCTAATATTGTAGTGCAGTGCTCTTTGTCCACCTTAACTGTGGCTCAGATGGCCCAGGGTGAAGCTTGATTCACTGTTTCAGAAGGTACAGAGGTAAGTCTCATTGGCATCTATGTAGTGTGAAGTGTGTAGGCTCACAGAATGCAAGAGCTCTGGGGGATCTCTTTCTCCACCTTGATTTCAAAGGATGTCCTAGACATCTTGGGGGCCAGGCAGAGATTTGTTGTGGGAGAGAGCCACCACAGAGAGCTCCCAATAGGGAGGCTTCAGTAGTGGAGGCACATAAATGGAGTTGCCACTAAAATCCCAGAACTATAGAATTGCCAGTGTGAAATTTAACCTAGAAAAGATGCAGGCATGAGACTCTAACCCAAGAGAGCTGAAGTGTGGACTATGACTAGCAAAGCCATGGGAGTGGATCTGCATGAAACTTTGGGGGCCAATCAACCACAATGGACCCAGGATTTGGAACATGAAGTGAAAGATTATTCTCCAGTTTTAATATTTAGTGTTGTTCTGTGGCCACATACACAGAGGCTGGCGGGTTCAAACCCAGTCAGGGCCAGCTTAAACAACAATGACACCTGCAACAAAAAATAGCTGGGTGTTGTGGCAGGCACCTGTAGTCCCAGCTACTAGGGAGACTGAGGCAAGAGAATCGCTTAAGCCCAAGGGTTTGAGGTTGCTATGAGCTGGAATGCCACAGCACTCTACTGAGGGCAACATAGTAAGATTATCTCAAAAAAAAAGAAAAAAAGATTTGGTGTTGTTTTTCCTGTTGGGTTTTGGACTTATTTGGGAGTAATGACACCTCTTTTCTTGCCTATTTCCCTCCTTTGGAATAAGAATATTTATCATTCTCATTTAATTGTGCCTGTCCCATCATTGTAGTTTGGAAGTAGATGACTGATTTTGATTTCATAAATTTATAGCTGCAAGGAATTTGCCTCAAGATTGATTATGCTTTAAATCTCACCCATATCTGATTTACATGAGACTCTGGACTTTGAACTTCTGAGCTAATGCTGGGCCTATTAGGATGAATAAAAGTATTTGCATTGTGTGTGAGGGATATGAATTTTTGAAAGCCAGGGATAGAATGCTATGATTTTAATGTCCTGACAAAAACTCATGTGAAATGTAATTGCCATTCTAACAGTGTTGAGAGGTGCAACCTTTAATAGGTGATATGGTATCTCCTCAGGGACTTTCATTAGCTAAAGCCGTCATGAATGGATTAATGAAATTATTAGGAGAGTGGAGTTAGTTATTGTGTGAATAAGACCCTGATAAAAGGGTGAGTTTGCCTCCTGTGATTGCTTCCAATTTCTGACATGCTGCCATGGGAAGCCTGAAAGATGATGGAGTTTGAGAAGCTAAACTGAAGCAGTACAGCTGACTTAGTCTGTTCAGCCATCTCCACACACCTCCCATGATTATCTAGTTAGGCTTTCCCCATGATTGTGAGGATGATTACATCAGGAGATTTGAGGAAGTAGTCACACATAGACAATAGATGTTGTGATATTAGTAAAGGTTACTTTGATAGTATGATTTTTTTCTTTAATGGTTTTCTTAGATATTTTGTTAAAGTGAAAACTACCTTTCTGCTGTTTAAACATTTTGCATTGTTAGAATGAAGACTACTTTGATGTTACTTCCTATCAGATAAAGCTAAAATTTTCTAGGTATGTTTCCTTGTATTCCCATTATAAAACTATTAGAATTGTAACTGAGGCAAAACAGAGTTGAGAGGCTACTTTCACTGTTCTCCAGAATCACTGGCTTACTGATAATAAAGTTTGGAAGACCTAACTTTTGGTCAGAGATAAAGTTTGTTCCTACCTCTGCATCTGGCTGACAGTGACAGGGCCCTCCAGTAACAATAGGATGACCTTTGCCAAATATCAATGCATGCCTTTGGATTTCTCATTCTCTAGAACCAATGAGCCGAAAAATTTGTGTTCCTTAAAAATTTCCCCATCTGTAGTATTCTGTTATAGCAGCAGAACACGGGCTAAGATAGCAAAGAAAATTATAAAATATTTCTTCTTAGACACACTGGTTCCATTATCACTATTTTGTTAGAAACTTTGGAGGGCATTTCCTACTGTATTACTCATGTTTAGTGAGCATAGTTTATTGTGGAGCCTTCTGGCTAAAGCATTTAGTTTTCTTTTACATATAGAAGCAGGAGGTGATTGGGCAGGGCAGTGAAAGTCCATGAAGGCATTGTAGAAACTCACTGCTAGAGAGCTCAGAAGTCAAATCTCCATTGTTTACAAATATAGCTTTCTGAAGTCTTACTAAGAATTATATCATCCTTAGCATAATCAATCCCAAGTCAATAAACACTGTTTTTTGAATAATATGGAATTTGGGTACTGCATCTAAAGAAGATATTTTTTAGAAGGAGAATTTAGAAGGATTTGGATGTAATTACAGAGATAATTATGAAATTTTATTTCAAGCATTGAGGTAATTTAGACAAAGGGAATAATCATAAAATGAGAGTACAAAGGAGACTGTGTTTCAAATAAATCTGTAGAGCAACTACTGCTGTTATTAATTAGATTAACAATTCAGTCATTGTATGAATTTATGTATTTGGTTGTTTCTACTTTTCATGAATAGGGCTCTAGAATTTGTCTATTCAGGGACTAACATAGTAAGAAGAATTTGGCCTTTGTAATCTCAAATCCTGCACTTGCTGTGCGGTCAGAACAGGTTATTGAAATGCTGCTAACTGTACCCTGCAGGTTTAGTGTTAGGATTAAATGTGATGCATATATCAAGTTACTGACAGAATGCCCATTAAAAAGAGATGCTCAGTAAATATTAATCCCATCCCTTCCAGCCCCATTAGTCCACTTGTGTTTTTAATGGATCACCCTTTATCCTGGATTGTATTGCAGGAGATACTGTGGATGGATGGCTGCTGGAAACCCATTGCCATAGCCAGCTCTTCTTCAATACCTAAGGACTTAGTACGGAGTTGAGTAATGAGAATTTCGGTAAGAAAAAAATAGATGAAAATAGCATATGGACTTTTCTTAAAGGGTCATTTGAATTTCAGATATTCATAGTATATTGTTACTCTTCAAAGATCTAAGGCTGTCACAGATATCTGGAGCATATGCATTGTTCATTTTTATTTTGAAAATATATAAAATAGGTAGGACATGGTAGCTCATGCCTATAACCCTAGTACTCTAGGAGGCCAAGGCAGGAAGATCTTTTGAGTTCAAGAATTCAAGACCAGTCTGAGCAAGAGCAAGACCCCATCTCTACTAAAAATAGAAAAATTAGCCAGACATCATGACAGCCATCTGTCTCAGCTACCATGTTTCCCTCAAAATAAGACACTGTCTTATATTTATTTTTTCTCAAGAAGACACACTAGGGCTTATTTTCAGGGAATGTCTTCCTCTACACGCCAAAATGCATGGCATGGCTATGCAGATACACTGCATAGCCAAGCCCATCACTAGGTCTTATTATCAAGGGAAGGCTTATATTTGAAAAATGCATAGAAATCCTGCTAGGGCTTATTTTTTGGATAGGTCTTATTTTCAGGGAAACACAGTACTCAGGAAGCTGAGGGAAGAGGATCACTTGAGTCTAGGAGTTTGAGGTTACTGTGAGCAAGGCTGATGCCATGGCACTCTAGCCTGGGCAACAGAGTGAGCCTCTGCCTTAAAAAAAAAAAAATTATACGCATGTGTGCATAGACATGTACATATACATGTTTAAGAAAACTATTAACAATCTTGCTATACTTTCCATGTTATTGTAAACGTTTAACTTATCCCACTTTATTTTGTTCTTTAAATATTTGTCTAATCAATAAATTATGTAGTCTTTGAGACCAAAATCTAGATATCATTCATATTTTTAATGTAGACTAAATGAATCACAGACTCTTAGTGATTAAGGTGGTGGTTACACTGCTTTCTGAAACTGTAAAGGCTTTGGCAATGCTAAAAGGGTAGACAAAAGTTTAAAACTCTAGAAAGTTCTAAGATAAACTAAAGATAAAGATAAAGTTCCTTTATTACCAAGAAAAATTGTTATACAGTAATAGCAGTCAAGATAGAACAGAATTATCTTCAATTGATTTCATTTTTAATCAGTTTTTCTTCCAATGATATTAATTTGTAATTATTTCTCATATATTTACATTAAAATATTATAAATAATGCATCTAAGTTATTAAAGGATGTTATTAATATGTGCTGTATAAAGTATATTGGCCTTATTAAAAAGCAGAGAAGGAGAAGTCAAAGGTTATGTAATAAAGTGGTGACATTAGCCCATATGTAAATTTTTTTTTTTTTTGGAGACAGAGCCTCAAGCTGTACCCCTGGGTAGAGTGCGGTAGCCTCACAACTCACAGCACCTCCAACTCCTGGGCTCAACTGAGTCTCCTGCCTCAGCATCCCAAGTAGCTGGGACCACAGGTGCCCACCACAACACCTGGCTATTTTTTGGTTGCAGCCATAATTGTTGTTTGGCGGGCTCGGGCTGGATTCGAACCCGCCACCTTAGGTGTATGTGGCTGGCATCTTAGTCACTTGAGCCACAGGTGCCGAGCCAGCCCATATGTAAATTATTAAATGTGAACATTTTAAAATTATTATCATTTTCATACATTTGGGGAAATACTTATTAGTAGACTGCTGTGCCTAAGAGTTGGAAATAGGAGTAAAAGCAAAAAAAGGTTAATTCTGCTTACATTATTTTTTGTAAGAAACCTTAATTGTGACGTTATGGTAAATTTACAGCTTTGGACCTAAAATATGATAAAATGTTATTTTAAACTTTTTCAACTAAAAAAAGTAACCATTTTATCTCTGCTTATATTTTTCAGAAACCATATTTGAGAAGTACTTCCATCCAGTGCTCCTTGTGTTTACTTCTAAATAGTCATTTTTTAACAGAGGCTGCCATTCGTGTCTTCATTTTTGGGTAATTCATCTTTAGGCATAAATTTCATCATGCTAAAGGCTGCAATGATTGTCTTCAAATGTCTCCTTTTTTAAACTGGTTTATGTTCAGTTTGCTTATATTGCTAGATATTCAGTATTTGGAATATGATAGAAAGCAGATTGTGAAGATTCAGAGGAGGTTTGGTAAACACCTAACTGAGCATTTCTAAATCCTGTTACTATTCTAAATGTGCATTACATCCCCATAAAAGTTGGGCCCCTAAACCTGACATCCTACATGCTTTTCACAGCAGTAAAAAGTTAGCTGTTTAGAATTTGCTTGTTAGTTTTTGTCCATTCTTGACTGTTCTTATCCTTGTATTCTACTCTAGTTCAGTTTAAAACATTCCTTTCTTCATTTAAGCCTTTTGTTTTTCCTTCTAATAAACATTCATATTTTTCCATGCCTATTAACTTTTCTCTTCTCTCTTAGATGCAGCTAATACACCCAGTTGGCCCAAAGCACCCAATCTATAGTTATATAATCTGACTCCCAGTTCAGTTTTACTCTACTAATGCCTTCATAGCATTGGGAACCATAGATTTGTGCAGGTAAATCATTATAAGACAGATTAGTGTTGCCTATCATTCCTCTGTACAAGATCCACCAGGGAGTAACTTTTTTTCCCCTAAAACTCTAAAAACCATTCTATAATCTCTTGGTCAGTGAAAGTGTCTTTTGCGTGAACATTGGATTTTGAATTTTACCAAATTGAGTAAGTATATAATCTCAGCCTAGATTGGCCTAAAGTCTGTAATGTTTATGAAGAAAGCTGTTTATAGTACAGTAATAGTATAAGCAGCATAGAAAGGGCATGTTTAACATAATGTAAAGAACATTTGTTGTCAAAATCATGACATAAAAATAATAATTTTTAGGAATTTTACTTATGTGTTAGACTTAAAATTCTGATGAAGCTTCTAAGTAAAGAAAACAGATAATTCACCCCAAAATGTTGATTCAGCATGGTTTCTATTTCATTGTAAAATAAAACATAAAACTGTAAAATAAAATGTGTTTTAGGTTATGTTTGAATTATACCCCCAATTAAACTTTTCTCTAATCCATGTTGATAATTACTCAAGTTATCCCAAAGCACCATGTACTATATGTTCAATATTCATGTTTATCTGTTGAGTCTACAGAGTCAAGGGTTATACAGATCTTTTCACTGGTTAGGTTAATAAATTATTGATTATTCTTGTGCTTATGGATTTCATCAAGACCATATTATGCTCATTCAAAATGCTTTGCTCTGTGATTCTTCTTTCAGCTGTATCAGTGCAGGTCTTCCTAAAACAGAGGCCAACTGGCACGATGTAATAAGTGACCTGAAAATAATTGAAGAGCTTATTCAAGTGAGTCCTCATTTTCTGAAAAGTAGTCAGTATAATTGCTATAGCATATGTCTCTCTCTGTGTTTTCCCTGTCAGTCTTAATGAAATTTCACTTGAAATAATATTTTTGTAGAAATTCATGAACCTTATAAAACCTCAAAGAAACTTTTTTTTGGTAGAGTCTCACTTTATCGCTCAAAGGAAACTTTTTTCTTAAGAAGAAAAAAGATTAAGATTCTAAGTAACTTTAAAAATTAATTCATATGAAAGCTATAACCCAATTATAGCCCAAGAATATGGGGAAAAGGGAAAGGGAGGGGAGAAGAGGGTGGAGGATGGGTGGAGGGAGGGTAATTGGTGGGACCACACCTATGGTGCATCTTACAAGAGTACATGTGAAACTAACTAAATGTAGAATATAAATGTCTTAACACAATAACTAAGATAATGCCATGAAGGCTATGTTAACCAGTTTGATGAAAATATTTCAAATTGTATATAAAACCAGCACATTGTACCCCATGACTGCATTAATGTAACGCAGTGATGATTTAATTAAAAAAGAAAGAAAGAAAAATTAAATTATGTGCTTAGAAAAAAATTGAGAAAAATTAATTAAGAAAAAATTAATTTATGTGCATAAGTGGCCCAGTCTGAAGAACTCAGTCTACCCAGGTTAAAGAGTCCCTTTCTCTAGCAAGAGAAATGAGGGCGATTTGTGGCACCTGAAGGGAGAATAGTATAACCCCAGGAAGAGTTATCTTGCCTATGGATTAGAGACCCAGCTCTCCCTCCTAGAGTTACCAGGTGGTCTGATAGAAATGGCAGTGAAAAGAGAGCGAACCACTCTCAAAACAGTGGCCTAGAGAGGCATACTTTATCCCCAGAATCAGAGTTTCACATCCTTTACCTAGATAAACCAGGGGGACTGGCCTGGAAAAGTGCTACCTTCTCCAAGAAGTGACACCAAGGGGATCAGAGGGAGTCTAGTAGCACCAAATAAACAAAAATGGCACCATAAAAGTTCTGAAAACTATGTCGTTGGAATCAAAGGTCATGAAAATAGGTTAGAACATGTATGCTAAATTCAAACAGGATAGCTGCATGCTAAAATAGAAAATATAAATAGGACCGGAGTCTCCCAATGTAATAGGAGACTGCTAATATAGATTACAATTATAATATAATACAATATAATGCAAAAATACAATTGAAAATCACTCATCATACCAAGAAGCAGGAAAGTTACAACTTAAAAGAGAAAATGCAATCAACTAACTCTAAAATTGAGATGGATCAGAAGTTGGAATTATCTGATATGGATTGGATTTGAAAGCTGCCATTATAAAAAAAAAAAAATGCTTCAAAAGCAATTATAAGTACCCTTGAAGCAAATAAAAAATAGAAAGCCCTAGCAATAATATAGAAGATATAAAAGGAACCAAATGGAAATTACAGAAGTGAAAATTACGATAACTGAAATATAAAACAAACTGAAAAGGCTCATTAGCCAAATGAATATGACAGAAGAAAGACAGTTAACTTGCAGATACAGTGCTAGATAGAAATGAAGACACAGATCTATGAAAAAGAACAAAAAAACCTAGAGATGAAACCAGGCTTATATCTCCATCTGATCTTCAATAAACCAAACAAAAGTCTACACTGGAGAAGAGAATCTCTATTCAACAAATGGTGCTGGGAGAACTGGATAACCACATGTAAAAGACTGAAATAGGACCTGTATCTCTCACTAGTTACAAAAAATGACTCACAATGTCTAAAAGATTTAAATCTAAGACACAAAATGATAAAAATCCCAAGTTTTTTCCAAGTGTGGGAAAAACTCTTGATGATAATGGCCTGGGGAAAGATTTTATGAAGAAGATGCCATTGACAATTGCAACAACAACAACAACAAAAAAAAAAATGAGTAAATGAGACAAAGCTAATAACCTTTTGGACAGCTAAAGACACAAAATTAAAGCCAACAGACAACCTTCAGAATGGGCAAAGATGTTTACATGGTACAAATCAGACAAAGGGTTGATAACCAGAATCTACAGAAAATTTGTCAACCAAAAAAGAGCAAAAAACAATCCCAATACCACTGGGCAAAAAGTATGAGCAGAACCTTTTCTGAACAAGACAGATGGATGGCCAAGAAACACATAAAGAAATGCTCATCATCCCTAATCATCAGAGAAATGCAAATGAAAACCACCTTGAGATATTGCTTAACCCCAGTGAGAATAGCCCGCATCACAAAGTCTCAGAGCTGCAAATGCTGGTGAGGATGTGGAAAGAGGGGAACACTATTACACTGCTGGTGGGATTGCCAAATAATACAGCCTCTTTGGAAAAAACTATGGAGAATCCTTAAAAAACTAAAAGTAGACCTGCCACTTGATCCTACAATCCCATTACTAGGTTTCCCCAGAAAATTAAAAAAAAAATTAGCATAAGGGCATTTGCACTAGAATATTTATTGCAGCTGAATTCACAATTGCAAAGATGTGAAATCAACCCAAGTGTCTGTTAACACATAAATACATTAACAAATTGTGGCATATGTATACCATGGAATACTATTCAGCAATTTAAAAAATGGAGACTTTATATCTTTTATATTAATCTGGATAGAATTGGAGAATATTCTTAGTAAAATACCACAAGAATGAAAAAACAAGTCTCCAGTGTACTCAATACTAATATGAAACCAGTAGATGAACAAGTACACGCTCACAAAAGAGAAAAACACAATTAAAGTCAAGTGAGGAAGAGGGGGAAGAAGGAAGAGGATTGGTGTGTTCTTACCTAATAGGCACCATATAAGGGTACATAGCTTGCCTCCTGGGAGAGGAGCAAAACTACAACTTGGACTCTACCTAACAAACACAAACAAGGTAACCTAATCATCTCTACCCTCATATTAATATACAATTCTAAAAAATACAGTACTAGAGAGAAAATTGCCTGGAAAAAAGCCTCAGGAACTTAAACACAGTTACAAAACTCCAGCATTTCTATTATCAGTATCCTAGAAGGAAAGGAAAAAGAGAGTATACCAAATAAAAGACAGGCTGAGTTGATTAAAAAAGCACAACCTATCTCTTTTACCCATAAGAAGCTTACTTCAGACAGGGTGAAATTAAAAAGATAGAAAACGATATATCATACTATAGTGGGTTGAATAGCGCCCCCCGCCCCAACAAAATTTCACATCCACTTGAAACTTTAGAATGTGACCTTATTTGGAAAGGACATCTTTGCAGCTATAATTAGTGAAGTTAAGATGAGATCATACTCGAGTGAGGTGGGCCCTAAATCCGAAGACTAGTGTCTTTATTACTTAAGGAAAAGACAGAGAAACTCACCAGGAAGAATCCCCTTGGAAGGCAGAGGCAGGGTTTGGAGTGATGCAGATACAAACCCAGGAAGACCAGGGATTGCCAGGACCCACCAAAATCCTAGGAAAGTCAAGGCAGGATTTTGCCTTAAGGCCTTCAGAATGAGTGTGGCCCTGCCAATACCTTGAGACTGGAGATGTTCAGTCTACAGAACTGTGAAACAAAAAATTTCTGTTGTTTTAAACTACCTACGTTGTAGTACATTGCTACAGCAGCTCTAGGAAACTGAGCATAGGCACATGTTAATTGTTAAAAGTCTCTATATTAATATCAGAGTTTCAGCTCTACGAAAGTGACACATGTACGTGTGTCAATTTTTAAAAGTCCCTATAGTGATAGCAGATAGAGTTCAGAACAAGAGTCAAGAGAGACAATTTATAATGACAAAATGTAAATTCACAAGGAAAACATAATGATCCTAAGTCATTATGGACTTAGGATATTAAGTCATAATGACCAAACAACAAAGACTCAAAATTCATGAGACAGAAAGTAATAGATCCAGAAGGAGAAACAGAAAAATCTTCAATTATACCTTCTCAGTAACTAATACACTGTTAGACAGAAAATCAGAAAGGACGTATGTACAAAAGAAAGCACAACAGCTGTAAGAAAGTCAAAAATAGTGATAATGCTAAATAAATACAAATAAAAATAGCACAAAAAATGATCATTCTAAATATACATAAATAAAATATAAATTACAATGGTGCTAATCCAAGGAGGCAAGGAAGACTAGAAACTGAATCACTCCTACGTTCCTGGTGAGAATGTAAATTGGTGTAGCCACTCTATTAAACTGGTTTGTTCTATTAAACAAAAAGCATGTATTTGCCACATAATTCAACAATTGTACTCTTGTACATCTATCCCGGGGAAAGGAAAACTTACGTTTATGTGAAAATATGCACATAGATGTTCGTAGAGTTTGTTCATAATTGCCAAAAACTAGAAGTAACCCAGATGTGCTTTTCAATAGGTAAATACTTAAACTATGTTATACTATCTCAGGGAGAACTACTGAGCAATTAAAAGGAACAAGCTAGTATTTAGTTCCCAAATATGAGTGAGAAAACGCAAGGTTTGTTTTTCTGGGCTGGATCTATTTCACTTAACACAATGTTTTACAGTCCCATCTATGTTGTTGCAAAGGGCAGGATATCATTCTTTCTAGGGCCATCTCATATTCCATTGCATATATGTACACAATTTCTTTATCCGTTCATCTCTTGATGAACACTTAGGTTGATTCCAAATCTTGACTGGTTTGAACAGTGCTTCAATAAACATGGGAGTGCAGATGCCTCTTCCATATACTGATTTCCCTTACTTTGGATATATACCTAGAAGTGGGATTGCTGGGCCATGCAGACGTTCTATTATTAGTTTTGTGAGGAACCTCTGTACAAACTAGTGATGCAACCAATTGGTTGTATCTATAGGATATTATGCTGGGTAAAAAAAGGCCAATACAGCCTGTCTTCCTGAACAAATTGTGGTGCATTAATACAACAGAAAAAAAGAAACGAGCTATCAAGCCATGGAAAGAAATAGAGACACCCCTAAAGCATATTGGTAAGGCAAGGAAGCTAATCTGAAAAGGACTCATTCTGTATAATCCCAGTTATATAATGTTTTAGAAAAAGGAACACTATGAAGGCATTAAAAAGAACAGCAGTTGCCAGAGGTTCAGAAGGAGGGAGTGATGACCAGGCAGAGTGCTATCCTGATTTTTTAGGCAGAGAAACTACCCTGTATGACAATGTTATGGTGGACATATGTCATTATCCATTTGTCAAAACAGATAAAATAAACAACACCAAAATGGTTCATAATATTCTATAGACTTTAGTTTACATGCCAATATGGAGTCATGAATTATAATAAAGGCACCACAATAATGGAAGATATTAACAAGAGGGCAAACATGAGTGAGGGGAGATGGGTATAGGAGAAGTCTTTATAATTTCCACTTATTTTTCTATAAACCTGCAACTCCTTATAAAAGAGCTAGTGTTTAAAAAGTTCACTTCAATAGGTGGAATACTGTAAGATTCCACTTATATAATAATCTTCATGACATGATAAAATTGTAGGAATGGAGAAAAGAGAAGTGGTTGCCAGAGGTGAGAGAGGGTAGGTAGTGATGGAGGGGCGATGTGTGGGTAGGAAAGTTTGCCTATAAGAGAACAGCAGGACAGTCCTCATGGTGATGAAACTACTGTATTTTGTATTTTAACTGGTGGTGATGATGAGAATCTGCATGTGTGATAAAATTACATAAACCTGCATATGCACTCATGCATATAAAACTGGTGAAATCTGAATGAGGTAGGTAGTTGTGTTAATGTCAGCTTTCTGGTTGTAATATTACACAATGACCAGGCAAGATACCATCACTGGGGGAAACTTGGTGAAGAGTATACAGGCTATCTCTGTATTTTCTTTAAAAATTTTGTATGAATCTAAAATTATCTCAAAATAAAAAATTAATTTAAATAGCTCAATTGAATGCTTTCAGTAGGTTATTCTCATTATATCTAAAACTGGGCATAGTTTTTCATGTTATATAATTTTCTTCCCTTTCAGTCTATACATATTGATGCTTCCTTATACACTGAAAGTGATGTGCACGTGAGTATAGCATTTTTTTTTTTTTATAAATTGCTACTTTGGCAGTCTTCAAAAGTTTAAGAAGTATATTTTCATAACATATCTAAAATATGTATAATTTTTAAATGTCTTTTTATGTGTTTCTAAAATATAATGTCAATGAATTTTATACGTGTTTGTTGAAGTTGTAAGTCAGAGAGCTACGTAAATGCTATTTTTGTTATGTTGCCAAATCAAAATTTAAAAGCATTTCTATCGGTGTCGAACAAAATACATCACACCTTTTTACGATGCAGTTGGGTCATGGTGTGATTAGATGTAAAACTCGGGTTAACTGATTCCGTTTAAAAGAATACAATGTATTTGTTATTCCTGGTATTATATCACCATCTCCAATTATATTTTCTATATAATATAATCTCCAATTATATTTTCTATAAATTGCTTACAGACATCCATGTTCTGCATATTTCATGGCTATCTGTTTGTCAGGATAAGATTCTAATGGTTCTATGGCATGAGAAAATAAAAATAATTGATAAAATATACCAGAATTCGAAAATGATCTTGAACTTGTTTCATTAATATATTGACACTTCTTGAGGCATGTAGGATTTCACTCATGATGTAGTCCTTTCCTTTCCTTTTGGGTTGTTACTAAAACCAAGGAACAAATCTCTAACTTCAACCTATAGAAAACAAACTCTATGTCCTCCCCCTGTTATTTCTCTATTAGAATTTGTCTGGCATAGATGACTTTCTAACCATTGGGAAGAAGCGATAGCCAAAACCTGGAAAAAAAAAATAAGTATTCATCAGCTTCTTAGTAGCACTTCTGTGCATAGAACTTGTCTCCCTCCTCTGCCTCAGGGTGTTTACTATTTCTCCTTGCACTTTTTTTAAAGCCAGAATCAGTCAATTAACCACCAATATTTAGCAACCCAAGATTGTATTTTTGCAAGAAGATAAACTTATAACTCAGGGCTTCTCTAGAATAAACCAGAGATTGAAATTTAGATTTAAACAGTGACTCAACCACTTTCTACTTTTGTTACCTTAGAAATCACTAAACATTCATACCAACAGTGCACATTATCTGGGTGAAAGGCCCACTTAGAACTCTGATTCAATCTCTACAAAAACAAGGTATATACCAGGGGGCACAACCCTCAGCCCTCAGGGTGCCAGCAGATTATCTGAAGACTGTTGTGCTTATTTGTGGTGTGGGATATCATGAAAAGTATGCAGGAACCTTTTCTTTGGCTAATCAGCTGTCCTTAGTGATTACATATTTACTATGTGGCCCAAAACAACTCTTATTCTTCCCATGTGCAGCAGAAAAGAAAAAAGGTTGGACACCCCTGAAACGCATGTACCCCCTAATATTCTGAAATTTAAAAAAATAATAATAATAAAATAACTCACTAAACATTTCTGAACCTCAGTTTTATTATGGCTAACATAGTGACAATATTTATCTTTCAATATGTAGCCGCTACCTTGGGGGGTAGAGGGGGCAAGGAATATGGCCAGTGTTGGGCATTTGAGTGTGTTCTTTCATGTACCTGTCCATTCAGTAAGCATTTTTTAAGCACCTGTAGGATCTCAGGCACTATGCAAGGCATTGGGATATTTACTGTCTTTGAAATTTAGGGGGTTGTTAAAATAACTGTTGTGGTAAATGTACTTTTGTGGTAGCTAGGAGACCCCTTTCTGATTTGGCCAGCCTGTGAGTAGGCAGTAGTCTTGCTTTGATTTTTCTTTTCTTTTCTTTCTTTTTTTTTCTTTTGTCTAGTAACAAAGTTTTTTATTTTTTTTTTCTGAAAGAAGACTTAGTAATCACATAATTGAGCACCTCTTATTCTCACTGATGAAAACCAGAACTTAGATATATTGAATAACTGACCCAAGTTTTCATGTAGGTTGTGTCAAAGCCACTGTGTCATTTTGGGGAGGGAAACTTCTTTCTCTAAAAAATGGAGAGGACATCAAAGTGTGCACAAAAAGACAACAGAGGGCTGGTATTTGTTGTGTCTTCTTACCAGCTTAGATTTCTCTGATAAATTTCTTGGAATCATTTCTCCATCTGGAACTTTAGAACTTGCCGGAATAATATGATTCGTAGCTTCCACTGTTTAAAATGTCAACAACACAATCTGATTCTAAAAATTCTTGCACATGCACAATCCGTATTGATGTTTTGAGTCTAAAGCCACTATTATCACCTCTCCCACAGTGAAAACGTGCTCGGTGAAAAAAAGTCCCCAACTCTTTCTAGATTTTCCAGTGTCGTGCCCTTCTATACAGTATTGCTGGCCTTCTGAATTGTGTTTTGTTCATTTTAGTTTGATTTGAAAGCCAATAAAAAAATATGTTGTGTTCTTTGTAAAATGGCTTAAGAGTATCACGTATCTTTATAAAATATTTAGATTGACTTTTAAGATATCAAAATTATATCCACATGAAAATGAATAATGAGAAAATGATATTTTTTTTCAAAATTGTTCTTTGTAACTCTTGTTTTTTAGCCAAACTGCAAAATAACAGCAATGAAGTGCTTTCTCCTGGAGTTACGAGTTATTTTATATGAGTCCAGAATTGAGCCTCTTAATGACACCTTAGAAAACATTATCTTCTTAGCAAATAGCAGTTTATCTTCTAACGAGGTGAGTTGTCTGATAGTCATCCAGCACCGCATTGGATGTTTTGGGCTTGTCTTGGAGAAATCATTCATCCTAAAGGGCACTCAGGAGAGAGAGTTCGGTTCTAGAGGAGTGCCATTCCCAAGTAGCATTCAGAGAGGTCTGGCATGCATGCAGTCCTAAACTGTTCATTGATTTATTCAGTAAATGAACATTTACAGAATAATGGCAGGCAGTGTGCTTCAGTGCTAACATGACAGTTGTGAGTCAAGCTGGTCACTCACCTGAAGGTGTTTACCTCGGGTGTAATAGACAGACATTAATTACAGTCAAGTGTTCAGCATCAATACAAGTAACTCACATTTATTCGGTTACTAGAGTGTGCTGGATGCTATTCTCTGAGCTTTAAATTGATAATTCATTTAATCCTCACAAGGAATCTGTGAAATAGTTATCCTTATTTCTGTTTGACAGTTGAAGAAATTGGAGTACGAGAGCTTGAATCACATGCTCCAATTCACGCAGCTAGCAAAATGGGGAGCCATTGTGTTTACCCAAACAGTCTCACTGTGAGTCTGTCCTCATACCTTCTGAAAAGATAAATGCTGAAAAAGGATCAGAATAAAAAAAATGCTAGTTATTTGAGTATAATCTGGAATATCCCAGGCAACTTGAGAAGTAGAGAGTTTCAGGGGATCAAAGTCTAGGAGCTCCCATGATAGGCTGGAAAACCAGCTGTGCAAAGAGGCTGAAGAGGCTTGTGCTCTTCGTGGCAAACTGTATGTGGCCCAAGCAGGGTGGAGAGAAGGCAGTTTTATAAACAAAGAAGACAAAATAAAATCAGTTCATGCGATGAATACTTTTTAGGCCTTCAGAAAGCAGCATGAAGAGAAACACCCCCAATCCCAGCTTTAAAGAAGGGAGGAAACAGAAACAAGCTAATAGATCAGAAAATGAATAATAAATTAGTTATTTATTAAGTCTAATGAGGAAAAATTAGGCAGGTAAAGGGGCCTGGGGCTCTAGTTCCAGAAAAGGTTTTACTAATGAACAGATACTTGACACAGATGTGAGGGCACGAACCTTAAAGATACTTGGGGAACTATGTTTAGACAAAGGCAAAACCCTAAGCTCACGTGACTGGACACCTTGACTTTCTCTAAAAACACAGTCTGCTCCAGGTTACAGCTTACATGTCACCTCACAGTGATGTCACCTATGCACATTTGCTGTGCTGTCACCACTTTACACCACTGTCCCCTTCTCTGCATGCCCCACGGTCATACTATATATTTTATGTAATGGGTATTACCTGTCTCTTGTACTAGAATGTCATCTGCAAAGGTGCAGGTGTTTTGTTTTTTCAGTGCTGTATCCTAATTTCTGGAAAAATGGCTCCCATATCCTAAATACTTGTCATAGTTATGAAATGGATTTAATATTACCAATACTCTACAAGATGTTATTTCCATCTTATAGGCGGAAAGAGTGAGACTTGCAACAGATAAATCATGGCAACATCAATGGTGAACGGTTGAGTGTACATGTTGATAGTCATCATGACATAGTGTGACAGGTGTACAGAAATGAGTGTACAGGACGGCACAGTCAGAAATCATGGATGGCAAGCTTTCCAGTTGATTATATCAGCTGAGATGAGTCATTTAATATTTCTCTCTCCCTATCTGACATGATCATTGTCAGGGTCAAGTAGGATAGCCTTCCATGAGATATGACAGTGCTTGGCACAGAGTATTTGCTTGATAAATATTGGTGAATCTAAATTCCAAATGCTTAATGGATGTAAAACCTAATTTTCAGTTTTGCTGACACAGCCTTCATGGTTCAGATGATCTCTTAAAACGTTGATTAATATTTGCCACCTTTGGAATACTCCAGTTATTCAGACACTGTCCTTAAATTACGGTCATTTTTAATATTCCCCTGAATGGTTAAATTCAACTAACAATGATTTGTTAAGTACTGTATGCAAGGCCCTACGCTACATACTAGGGAAACAAAAATACAGGGCTTTGCCCTTCTAAAAGAGGGCTTAGAGAAGAGTAGTATAAAAAAGATAAAAGTTCGTTGTATGGATGCAATCCATGATGTACTGTGAGAGAAGTCTAACCAAGGGGCTCTGAGATTCAGAGAGGGGACATTGTACTAAGCCCTCGGAGCTCAGAGGTTCAGAAAAGGCTTTCTGAATAACCGTAAGTGTGAGTAGCAACAGTTAAAATGGGAAGAATGTCACAGACAGAGAGAAAAGCAAAGATAGAGAGGCGTCTGATAGCATGTTGTGCACTATAAGGAGAGGCAGGAGCTGCCCCAGTGTTACGAAACCATAACACCCAGATAGTGGGGAACAGTGAAAGAAATAGGTAAGGAGCAGCTCATGGAGGGCCTCTGTGCCCTGCGGGGTAGACTTTATGCGAGAGGTAGATGATAAGAAACTAGCGGAGGGCTTTAAGCAGGAATTCCATGGTCTAGTAGACGTGGGGTTTTTTTTTTCAATGCCCTTAATCTATTACATGACAAACAAACTCATATCGAATCTCCCCGTTTTTCCTGATACTATTTTGCTAAGTTTTCACGTGCTAAGACCTTACCAAATGGTTCAAATGATGTGATATTCCTATGAAAGAAGTATCTTACGCTGGCCAATCTAATCCTTTCTTTTCATTTGGCAGAATATAACTGAATCTGGATGCAAAGAATGTGAGGAACTGGAAGAAAAAAATATTAAAGAATTTTTGCAGAGTTTTGTACATATTGTACAAATGTTCATCAACCCTTCTTGATTGCGATTGATCCTTTTCAGTGTTTCTGTTATTAACAAACACCGTCCTGCTGCTTAGAGACAACAAAACACTCTGCATTTCAAATGTGCCGCCCAGGCAAGTTTTTCTAACAAGATGATGATCGGGATCTCAGATCAGATGAATTCTTAGAAATGAAGACAGAAAAATGTCATTAAGTAACAATGACTATGAACTCCTTTCAAACTTATTTTGCTCATTTGTTTTTAATTTATTATTTGAAATTGTACATATTTGTTATATAATATAGAATGTTGAATAAATGTGTGTACATGTTTTATCATTTGAAGTTGCACTTGTATTTTATCTTGCTATAGGAAAAAGGGGGGGGGCATTTGTTTAAGGGATGATAAGGGTACCCAAGATGCTGGCCAACAGCTATGCTGGCATTCCCCTACCAGTGTAGAGCTGTGGGCTACCAGTCCTCACTCATTTCTTCATCAGGTGTAGCACCCCAAAAAAGAATTGGCTTGCCAGCGAGAAAAATAGGAACCATGTGGAAAGCCTGTGCTTTCCTCTGTAATTTAGTCACCGATATATAAAACACCTCTTATGAAAGAAAGAAATTGCAATATGTGGCATGTAATGTACATTTGTAAATCACAGATCGTGTAGAGGCAATAATAAACTTACTTGGTAGGTAAAATGATGTATAGAAAACTAATGGTGATGATGTTTATATATCATGCTTTTCCAAGTACAGGTCTTTTATTTTTGCCATATTGGTAGGAGAAAAAAAAATTGTTGATTTGTTGGAGCCAATGTTATCTGACATAAAACAGTTGTTTATATATTTTTTGCACTTAACTGTCTTAAACTAGTAAGCTCTTTTTTAATGGAACTGTGAGTAAGATGAAATGTTCTTGTTTCATTACAAATTTCTTACCCCCAGAATCATTTGTTCCAGTCTTCACTGAATGACTGTGGCATAGGAAATGATCTAAAAATTCTGTTTCTCTCCATTCCATACAACATAAACTGGTTCTCTGTTGAAGTAATTTTAGCATCCGGTGCCCTGTCCACGTTCATGTATCTCAGTCCCTTAGTCAAACTGTGCTTCTGAATATCTCTCAAGATAGTTTTGGAGAAAACTGTATCATATTTGACTTTTAAGGAGCCAGATAC